AGATATGCAGTGAAGACAGGTGCCACTCACAGAACCAACAGTCTGGCAGTGAAGGTGGCAGCGGACGAGCTGTGAGCCCCACAGAGTCTGAGAGGAAAAGGGAAAGAGTGAGACATCACCCTGACAGTGGTCAGAAAAAGCTTCCCAAAATAGTAACACTCAAGCTGAGACCTAAAGAATGAATAGAAAGTGGCCAGGCAGAAGGGGGAGAAAAGAATTTTACAGATTGTAGGGCAACTAAGTGGGCAGGGGAAAGTCTGAAGGTAAGAGAGGACAGGGCTTATTAAAAGAACCAAAAGGAAAAATCATGGCTAGGGCACACAGAATGAGGTGAGAGCTGGAGGTAGTGGGGCTGAGGGAGAAAAGTTGGGCCTAACCAGGTCACAGCTCTACCTTGTAAGGCTTGTGAAACAAGCAAAAGAGGTTGGGTTTGATCCTGAGAGCAAGGGAGAGTTTTAAGGAAAGGAGTAACACGATCCTACGGGCGTGCTGGGAAGGTGGGAGAATGACTGGGAGCAGTAAAGACCAAGGGTTGATGCAATGACCCAGATGAAAGAAGATGGAAACCTGGACTAACGTAAGAGCAGAAGAAACAGGAGAACATGGATCTGGGTGCTACAGCTAATAGGATTTGGTGATTAATTGAACTCAAAGGGGCCATGACAGGAAAAAGTCAGAGATGACCACACAGCCAAGACCAGTGCTCTGCACACAGTAATAATATTTGTGGAATGAATGAATGAACAACAAATAAATTATTGAATGAAAAAAGGTACCAATTAATGAGAGGCAAAGAGAAGAGTAAATTATTTTTGAAGACCCCTTCCAAGACAGAGCAATCATTAGAAAGAAGTAACATAGACTCGAGAAAAAAAAAAGTCCAAATTTGTTGGTTTACATCCTCCCTATATTTTCAAACAGGTGAATTGAGGAGATGAAAAGCAGTTTAAGAGCCTCAGGTCGCTGTTGGTGTTTCTACCTTCCCAAACACTGCCTCCCTGAGTCTCTGCCCAACTAGCGATCTGTCAGGATCATCAACAGCTCCCAACTTCCCCAAATCCTAGGCCTGTGTGCATTTGCCAGAATTTTCCACACTCTTGAAATTGTTCTTTCAGTGACAATCTAAGTTGTTCAAAGACTAATTCATCCATTTACTTATTTGTTTGTTTGTTTATTTATTGAGTGCCTACTACATGCTAGGGCTATAGCCTGGGGCTATAAACATGACAATGGACACAACCCCAACCCTCTAGGAGCTTCCAGTCCCCTCGAGCATTTAAGTTGGATCACATATGTAAAGAGTGAAATGTGGCCTTTCCTCCAGTGACTCACAAAGAAGCCTCTTTGGCTGTGTGTATATACTCAGTCTCAGAAATAGAGGTCTCCTGCCTCGGAAGAGTATCATTTTCATTATATAATAACACCACCTAGTGGTCTCAAACAACTTTAGCACTTGATCCAGTAAAATTTCTAGCTATATTCCTGGGAAGGATGCTCCACCATCTATTCAAAATATTTCCTTTCTCTATCAAGACAATCTAGGGGTTGATTCTCTAACATATAATAAGCACTTAATATTTGTTAAATAAATATATAAACAGAAGAGCAAATTAATTTCATACCCTGGTACCTTATGGCAACTGAAAGAGAAAAAGTATAAAAAATTTTCCCAGATTCTTCTGCATTCCAAAGAGCCTCCAAATCATTTCCATCTAAAATCCAGAGGCATGTCTGTCCTTAATTTAGCAAACAATTCCTTTAGGTGCATTTGAATAAGCTGATTTTTTTCAAGGGTCATTGCCACCAAGAATGAAACCCTGACTCTCTCCCACCAAAGGGAACTTTCTATAATCCCAAAACAATGAAAAACAGAGTCTGTTACCCTAGAAAGCAGGACCAATACCAAAAGACAGCTGGCTCTGCAAGGAGGAATGTGGACACAGAATGTCTGAAGATGCTTTCATAGACTCTGCTTGGGCACACAGGTCAAACTGGACCAGGTGTCTTTGGGAAGTATGCTCAGAAAACAATGATAACCCAAATAAAGTGGCCTAGCCCCACTGAGCCCCAGAGATCACAAAGCAAATGAAAAGAACAAAAGAAACCAGAGTCTAGTTTCTTAGGAACATAAGTCTCCCAGAACAATATTCCAACAGGCTAAATCTTAAGTCCTCTTGTCTGCTTACGTGCGTAAAGAGGATCCCCAAGCGATTCTGGCTGGAGTCTCCTGGCTATTAGGCCTTAATTCTCCTGATTCCTATGGCCCAGATGGTAGGGAAATGGCAGTTAGCAACAGTTACCTGGCTCCTCCTCTCTCAGAACATTGGAAGGCTGAATGAAGCAAAGGGTTCATGAAGGCTCCTCCCCATCACTGAACTCTTTTCAACGGGGCCTCATCCTTCCTTCCTGATTAAAGAGAGGGAATCAGAGAGGCATCAGAACACAGTGGATGAGAAAAGTAAGGACCCAGCCAGGTTCTAAGCCCAACTCCCTACACTTGCTGGCCATTGCTATCTGGCAACTTACTTAACCTCTCCAACAAGGCCACCAGGTACTGTTGTGCAGGTTGTGGACCAGCTCTAGGGTGTTGCTCAAATTGTAATCTCCGTAGATTTGTATCTTCATTGAAATAATGTTTCAGTGGATAGGAGTAAAGTGTCTTACAGGGTGTCTTTTTTCTAATTCATCCTAAGTCCCCAAATGGACCATCTTTAGCCCTGTATTCTGTGCCTCAGTTTCCTAAATAATAAAACAGAGACGACCCACATCTATCTATAGAATTGGCAAAATAATTAATCAAAATAGTGAGTATAAAGCGCCTTGAAAACCATAATGTGATATGTAGGTTATATTTCCCTAACTTCTGTTTGTGATTATGCAAATTTGAGGGACTGAGATAACAAAGATGAAACAAGTTTCAGCCTACAATGTTTTTTCTCCCTTTGAAAATAGAAGCAAAGGCCAGTATTCAGATAGCAAGTATCTTCTCACTTAAAATATGTCATGGTTCAAAAGGTAAATTTATACTGATCAACAGGAACTTAAAAAAATGTGCCAGTTTCTGGGAGCTGCTTTACTAAGTAAGTAAAGTAGCTGAATTAGTTAGACCTTCTCTGTCTTCAGATGAAATGAGCAAATTAAAGCTAAGCTCTGCCCATTCTCAACCCCACTACTGACCATTGGAAATTGGGTTTGCTTGGGAGGACAGGTCTGAGGGTAGGCTAAGGAGAAGTGGAAAAGTTATAAATTTTTAACTTATCCCACAGAAGTCATTCTGCAATGTGATGTACATTTGAGAAATAATTATTTTCAGGAAAATAGCCCACATAATGCCTCTTGGATTCCTCTCACCATGAAGATTCAGCTAAGTATAGTTCAGTCTTATAACACAAATGATGTCATATGATTTTGATTTGGCTTGGAAAAAAGGAAGAATGGATAGGCAGGAGTTTTAGCTTTCTAATTTGGTCTGTTTTGAGACAATGTTAAGAAGAAGTTGAACATTTAATCTTCCTTTCTTGTACAAACTGTATTTGAGGTAGAAAATAATTGATAAGGGGTAAGTTTCTCTTTATAAAAAGTTCTCAGGCCCAGTCCAGAGTTCCACTTCCTTCCTTATAGTGCAATGAGCTCCACAACAGATCTCCAACGAAACTAATGAAAATTATTCTAAGTCTCTGAAACGGCTCTAAGAGCATACAACAAATGAAGAAACATTCAAAACAATCTACAAAACCTCGGTAAGAGCTGCAGGAGTCTATGGTGTGTGACCCTAGGACCATCTCCCCCATTCCTCCCCACTTTAGTGAGAAGCCCTACTCCAGACTGCTGCAGCCCAAGGACACAGGGCTCCCTCTCCCCCTAGTTCCAAGTCAGAGAACTACTTCCCAGGAGGGTCAGGACATCATCACATCTCATCCTGCCCCCAGCTACCTGTTGCTGAGGCTAAGTTCTGGTGAGTACAGCCAACAGGTGAAGGTTCTCTTCTTCCACCCAGCCCCTACTTGTGGGAAAGAGGCTCGTTCTTGGGTACAGAGCTGCTGAGAATACTGGAGCCCTGAATGCTCATGAGGCATGGGGCCCAGGCTTCTATTACCCAAATCTAATACACTGGGTACATGAGTTTTGTTATTCTCTTTTGTGTAATTTTGAAAATTTTCTATGTTAAAAGTTTAAGGACAAAAACATGAAAAAAAAAATCCTTCTGAAAACCAAGTACAAGGGACCCTGAGACTGAAATTCTGAGTCTTTATCAGCATCACTGAAATCTTCCTGCAGACTCAGCAACTTAGGAATATGAGTTCCATACTATACACAGGAGTACTGCACATAACACATACACACATAACACAATGAATATTACTTGATAATGATGCAGATGCCATCCCCAAAAGAAACCATTTCCAGAGAATGAGAGGGAAAGCTAGGAACACATTAGGGGTTCCCACAGGCCAAATTCATCCCTTCCTATAACTAGAAACCTTTCAAGAGTTTTGGAGAGGAGATAAAAGTGACCCAGAAAAGAGATACTAAAAAACATCTCTCCCCTCCTCCTAAAAACAGAGAATGAATCTTTTGATGAAGCAGCAGCTGTGTTTAATCACTAAAATTATCCTGGCCCTAATGGAAAAGAAACAGTCTAAGTTTGAAAGGGGTGGGGCTTTTTCTCTCTCACTTATTTTAGAAGCCAGTAGCAGCCCATGAAGAAAACAGAATCCTAACGTCAGGCCCTGGTAAAGGCTCCAGGAAGCAGAATTCCCCTCTCCTTTCTGCCCTCATGTCCAAGGTCGCTGTCCTCAGGAATCCAAGCATCCTGCTCTGGAATAAGGCTGCCCCGGGGATGCTTTCCGCCTACGCCTCCAGAGATTCTTCACTCTGTGCCCCAGAGGGCTGGTTCTCCTCGTCTTCATCACCAGTGGCCTGAAGAATCCTCAGCAGTTTGAGCTCAGGGTTCCAGCCTATTCCAGAAGTACTGTTTGGGGTCCTCTTTTGGGCTTCCAGCAAAACCTCCATCTGAGTCCTGATATCCTTGTGAGTACGTTCTATTCTAGGTAATTCAGGACCTAAAAAAAAGATGCAGTCATTAATTGCACATGGAGCCTTCTCCCAACTGTGAAAAATGGACAGAAAAGGAAGGGCTGGGTTGTCTTTAGGACCCTTCTGAGGGATGAGGACTGTTCCCTCCAGGGAGGTGAACCATCCTGGTCCACACAGGTTCAGCTCTCCCTGTCCTCAGTCACTTACTAAGGTTCCTCCACCCTAGTAACTTACTCTTCTTACTGGGGAACGAATCCAGGTGTTTCTTAGAGTAGTCCACCTGTGGTTTCTCTGTGGAATCCTGAAATGCCTACGTGTACAAGAAACTTGAATCAGGACTTTGGGGAACAAAGGATTTTTCTTAGAGACATTAATGTCTAAGATGAGATAAAATGCCACCTACCCAAAACTAAAAAGAGAAGCTGGTGTCACACATTCTGTACCCTCCAGGCTGACCAGATGAAGCCAGAATCCAGTTTTCCCCATTCGCAGCTGTCAACTAAGGGTAGACTGCCTCCAGAGGTGGCTGCCAATAATTCCTCCCATTCCTGTATGCACATACTGTTCTTTCCAACAAGAGGATGGAGTCAATTTCCTCTCCTCTTAAATCTGGGCTGGACTTGTGATTTTTTTTTTTTGGACAAATAAAATGTGGCAGAAGTGACACTGTTCCAGTTCCAGGCCCATCACTTAAGAAAGTGCTTTCATGAGATTACTTACTGTCAAGAAGACTAAGCAAGCCACATGGAGAGGCCTCATGGAAGAGAACTAAGATAATTTGGCCAACATCCCCAGCTCAGCCTCCAACTGAACGCAGCTGCATGAGTGACCTTAAGACAGACCAGGAAAACTGTCCAGTCAACCCACAGAATCACAAGAACTAACAAACCACTATGGTTTCATCTTTGAGGTGGTTTGTTATAGAGTAACTGACAACTGAAACAGGGCCCTAGCAGAATGGCCCCCGTATCCTCTCACCTGTTTCAAGGTGGGGCCTTCTATCTTCATCTGCTTCTGCTGCTTTTTGCAACTTTCCCGACCTGGTAGATTTCTGTGATCTGTGACCACAAAATCAATTCAATTCTCTTCTTATCGGTATTTCGTATCTCACTGCAGGGCTTCTAGCTGACCCCTAGTCTACAAATGACTCCCCATCCAGGACAAGACAGGACCTTAGAGGCAGGTAAAAGGGAGTTAGGCCCTCTGAGTTCTACTGGTGATTCTGTTAGCCTGGGACTGTGACAACATCTGTTACAGAATTAGCGATTAGGGTAAAGTGTGTGTGAAAAGATCCAGGATTCCTCCAAGAAACCTAAGGGACAGATGCCTATACACCATATAGCAAAAGAAACTCTAACTCTACCTTTTCAGTTTATGAATACTCCTCTTACTTTCTTGTGTCATCCCTAATGTACCCATATTGGCTTCTGAAAGTGAACGTCCTCCCCTGTGGAAAAAACACTCTAGATCTATGATTCTTTTGCATCAGATGTTTTCCCAACTAGTCCCTAATACATTCTTTCCTCTGCCAGTCTCCCTTTCTTTAACTGAACATCTTCCAAGCTGTCACCAGAGATATGATGCTAAAAGGGAAAGCCAATCAAGGAAGGAACCCCCATGTTCAACACATGGGCTGCCTCCCCACCAGCACTGGTTCTCATCTTAGCTACACACTGGAAGCACTGGGGAATTCTAAAAACCACTGAGGCCTGGATCCCCACACCAGAAATTCTGATGTAATAGGTCTGAGGTACAGCCCGGGTGTTAGGGTTTTAAAAGCTCCTCAGGTGATTTCAGGGTGCTGACAGGGAGGAGCACCACTGACCCGGAGGATGAAGATCAGACATCTTAGGCTATTGGGCCTGATTTACCTCCTCCTGTAACTACCTGACCCCACGGCCACAGCAGACTGCTCAGTGCTCCCGGCAGCCACGTGCCTCCCAGATGCCTTTGCACAGGCTATTCCCACTTCCAGAAAGTCTCATCAGTACTGGGAAAACTCTCCAGAGCCAATGCAAAAATCATCTCTGCCATGAGGCCTTCCTCAGTTCAGTGAGGACAAGCCACTGCTCTAAGAACAGAATTCAAAGGGGCACCCCTAGTCACCCACACAGAGCTGCTCCTATTGGAGGCATCAGGAAGAGGAATGAAAGGCACCAGAATGAAACTCGGGAGTGCTGACCACCCTGGATGCGGGGCTAACTTTGGACAAGTACCTCCGCCCTGGGCCACAGCCCCATTTCTGTCTACTTTCCATGTAAAGGTCAAGAGCCTTAGATCTTCAGGCTAGAAGACACCATTGGTATCAGAGCTCAGTGAGATGGAAAATAAACCAAGAGCAGCATCCTTCTCAGGAAACATCTCACCCGGGCCCTCCCAGCGGCAGCAGGGTTGGAGAGTAAATTTTGATGATCAAACAGTTACTTTCACATTACAGTCAGCCATGTCCAGTCTACTTAGGGTAGAAGACTCTTCCATGGTTTAGGAGGATTCTTTCTCCTTCCCTCCCATTCTGCATCCAAGCTGAGAAACATCAGAGGGACCAGGGTAAGCATATCCTTCAGCTCAGACGTGATAAGGACTCCAAAAGGGGGAGTCTCTTGTCTCCAGCATGAAGGCTAGAGGAAAAGAATCGCCTGTCAAGAATTAGCTCTCTGCCTCCTGGGTGGGGCTAGACAGTGAGAGGCTCCTGAGACTTTAACCTGTGGCTGGGAGGTGGAGGGCCCTGACTCTGCTTCCTTAGACTTCTCTTAGGGCTTGGAGAGGGGCCCTGGCTCTTCCCTGCCCCATTGGCCAATGGGCCCCCAGCAGTATTCTCTTCAATAACCTGGTCTTACTCTTCATCCTCAAACTGCTGCTTTTTCTAAAGTAGGACCGAGGGGAAAATGACTCTGACCCATGCCTGTGGTCATCTCTCAAATCCCCATGTGAAGCAGACATCTGGTCCAGCTCCCTTACTTAGTAAATATTTGATGGAAGGATGATAAACAGTGGACCAGCCAAACCGAAGCACTCCAAGGAGAATTCTGAGTGCCTGACAGGTAAGTCCCCAAATGACAAAAACTTCAGCTTTTCCTGTCTTCAGCTATGTCCTGGGATTTTCTCGTCCCCAAGCCCACAGTCCCCTTCCCACAGCGTGGTATAAACCATGGCACCTGAACATTTCTGCGAAGCATTATGACTCCCTGGTTCACTCTTGGATTTCTTTTTAGCCTCCTGAAACCCACATGAGAAGGAACTGAATTAGGACTTTTGGAAGTGAAGAAAACTTTTCAAAAAGAGTTTAAAAGAAGGAAGTTAGTATCTATAACCACACAGGAAGCTTGTATCTACAATCAGACAGAACAGGGAGACTCCCACCTCCCACACATCCCCTCCCGTGCCAGGCTGCACCCACTTGCTCCAGGCCCAGCAAGTCCTTGGGGTCCCCTCACCCCTCACTGCCATTCTACCTGCTTCCTAGTAGATGTCTTCACCCTCCTCTGCTGCTGCCGCTGCTGCTTACTCTTACGACCTGGTGACCACAGAGCCAGCTCAGTCCTCTTCTCCCTGACGGCTCCCGCCCTTCCGCCAGGCTCCTTGCTGCACCCTGCTCCCCAGTGGGGACACTCTCTCTCTGGTCAAGACCCAGCCGAGGGGCAAGGGAGGACGCTTTTTGAAACTGAAGTTTCCTGAGTTCTACATGTGACCTGTGGCCACAGGCATAAATGAACTGAGACCAAGATCAAGTATAAGAAATGTGGGCTGAAGGGAAATGGAAACTGGAGCTCTGGCAGCACCAGAAAACCTACCTTCTGTTGTCAGATTACAATAGAATTTCTTCAAATGTTCAGGGTATCGCAATGCTGGTCTCTGGAGAAGAAAAGAAGAAAAGCTCTACTATAGGTCTTTCCCTTTCCCAAAATATATCCCTGAATGCATTTATCCATTTAGTCAACAAGCAGCGCTGTACCAGGGGCTTTGGAGAAGGGAAAAGATGTGGGGAACCAAGTGCAGAAGAAATAGAGAGTGTTGCTCTCCTGAAATCTCTCCCCGTACATGTACTTTCACATGTACAGCCTAGCCCTTCTGTGGGGCCTGGATCCAGAGTGGAAGGATGAAAGAGAAAGAAGAAACAGGAAGTTGACTCTTTCAGCCTTGAGGAGAGGTGACTTCGGCTTTGCACGCAGACACCTGTCTCTGAGGTTCCCTAGCTCGCACCTGCAGGGTGAGGCGGTGTACAGTTAAACACATCCTAGCAGAAATGGCACTGTCGGGGCGGCTCTTCTCCAGGGGAGGTTTCTTTTTCATCATGGCCAAATGTGTCTTCATCTCTGGATAAGGTATGGGTTTCCCTTTATCCAGTAAGAGGCTGGAGGGAACAGCAAGAGCAGACCATCAGCAACAACAATTCTTGGAGAGTGCAGCTCAGGAAAAAGAGATGAAAAGGGCTCCAAATTTAAAGAAATGTCCACTCCGGGCCTTAGAAGGCCTGTACCAACAGGCGCTGACCCAGTAATGGCTCTCAGATGCAACTGTGATAATCATAGCTGAAAGGGTTAAGTGTTGACATATGTCAGGCTCATGTGCTTTATACCAATGAATCCTTACAACACCCCAAGGGCAGGTATTATCCTCATTTTGCAAACGAGGAAAATGAAGATTAAAGAGACTAAAAAAATTACCAAAATTCACAAAGGCAGTAAATTTCAATACAAAATTCAAAGGCTGTCTCCCTCCAAACCACACATCCATCCTGCCTCCCACTTACCCATAATTCATCTATTAAAAAAAGAGCAAATACTATCTAGCTCCTGGTGGAGGTTTCAGTGAGAGAATATACACAGCACAGGCCTGGCAGACGGGAAGTACTTAACAAATGGTGGTGATTCTTGTCATCACTGCATATTGGTAAGTCTAAGAACTCAGTGACCAAGTAGGGTGATGGTTTTCTCCCCTCCCTGCTCAGAAAGAGCACGTGCTTAGACCCCTCTCAGCTTCTAAGGAAAAGATGATGCTCGGTTCTCCCACAGGCTTACGTGATACTTACTCCTCCAGGAGATCCTGAGGTAACATGTCACACCGCTTCCACAAGGGTGCAGATTCCGAACTCGGTTGCTCAAACAAGTGTACTGGGGAGGGAGGAGACACAATTGTCCTTAGAGGTCCCAACTGCGTTTCTGTGTTTTGGTTTTCATAGAAGAACTGAGCTGACTTGTCTTTCTGGAAGAGAGACAATGGAAAGAACTCCCTGAAGCACTGTCTTCAATGCCACTTCTTCCCATCAACATTCCAGCCTCCCAACACAACTCTGGTACAGGAAGCTCCATCCTTCCAGATCTCCTCCAGCATCCCCTGCCTCCCCTGCACTATGAGAACCACCACATCTTTCCTATCTGGCTCCTCAACCCTATTGTTGAATTCAGACCATACGGGAATTAGTGGTTCTGTTTTGTTTTTTTCTCCAGAAGGTTATTAATTTATTCACCGAGCAAACTGAACAAATATTTACTAGCCTTCTATGTGCCAGGCACAGGGCTAGGGCTTGGGATTCAGCAATGAACAAAATGCACCAAAACACTACGCTCCTGGATGTAGTAACCTTCCAGCCCTGGGACTTACCCAAGGATATATTTACCCAAGGAATGGTAGAATCAGAAGCACAGGTCCATTATAACTTCTAGTTCATTGATATTCTATTCTCATCGCACTGAAAATTAGTTTATAATCAACCAAGAATTCTCTCTGAATACCCAACAGTTCCTCCTAACGTCTCTTCAAGGAATAGAAAATGGTTTGGTAATTATCCCTTAAGAGGGTTTTCTTTTGCAGATTTTGTTCATTTAAAGACAGAATAAGGGAAGGGAGAAGATATCTGAAAGGAAAACAAAAATAAACTCTACAGAGTAATACCATGAAGATTTGGCCAAAACATCAAACTTACCTCTGTATATTTCTTTCTTTTCATCCTCCCATCCTGGCTGGTAACAATATGCTTCTTCTCAGCAAGACTTGAAATAAGAATAACCACAACTTATTCCCAGACATCTTAAACAGAAGCACCAAGGATACTTATGAATGATGACCGTGAAGATTTCCATCCTCCATTCAGTACTCAAAGATGGCTGGTTGGGAGCCCAGAGGTACCTGCTGCCCAGAGGCTGGAAAAACAAGAACCTCCCCGCCAACACCCTCACATCTAAATCAGGTTCCCCATCACGCTCTCATACAATCCAGTTATTTACTTTCATGGCATCAATCCAAATTAGTAACTATATACTTAGATGTGGTGATGTTTATAATTTCTGAATCCCATCACCACAAGACTCCAGGAGGACAAGGACAAAGTCTATTCAGTTCTCCACTGAATTCTCACTGCTTAGCAAAGAGGTGCTCAAAAATTTTTGGCTCTGTCATTTTCCTCCTCCTTCTTGTCTAGAACATGGATATGATGGCTGGAGCTCCAGCAATCAACTTAGACCTTAAAAGCCCCCATGAAGCACATCAGAAGATGGAAGCCATGGGCTAAGGATGATGGCCCAAAAAGCTAGAAGGAGCTCTGGTTTCTGATTACCTCACAGAGCTCACATACTAGCTGTGACCTACCTACTTCTGGGCTTCTTTTACACAAAAGGAAATAAAGCTTAGGAGTTTTTTGTTCATACAAAATATAATATATATATATTCACACAAAAATGCATACGTAAAGAAAACTTCACATGACTTTTTGAAAGGAAATTAAAAAGAAAGTCTCATCATCTCTGAACAGTCACTCAACAAGAATCTGAAAGCCTCAACAGTCACAAAAGAAAAACCACTTTCTTGCAATGGTTGTCAATATTAGCAAGCCTTGGGGCCTTTACCAAATCAACTTTGTCACACCAGCTTTGCACACAAGTTCTTTATGCTATTCATTTTGTACTAGTCCTAAGGGTTGAGACCAAAGATTCACGCACTTTACTGAAAACTTTTTTTACTAGCTGCTGATGGCTAAGAAAAACTGACAGTCAAAAAGCATCTGTTTCTTAATCAAACCTCACAAATACATTGGGCCCTATCTGGTATGCTCTTTACTGCTAGGTAGAATTTGATGTAGAAAAGTCCCAACACATGAATCTCAAAGTGCTTTAACAAGAATTCCAGTGTAGCAAGAGGCAAATGCAAGAGACCATAACCTTCTCTGTTTGACCTCCTGTTTCCTGAAATGAGGTGGCTAAAAAGGAGATGACAAAAAGAGGGCCTGCAAAGGACAGCAGGCATTTGCAGAACACAGGAGTTAAAGACTCTGAAGTTCTACACATGATACTCACCCCACATGCTTCTCTGGTTCTTCTGGGATCCAGATTACAACCATATTTCTAACATCTTGAGCACTGGGAAGTTGTGTCTCATTCAAATTCAGCACTGACAGCTAAGAGAAAGATATAAAGCCTATGCATGGCTTGAAGGTACCCACTGATGGTTTTCATTACCAGACTAAGGACTGAATTATCTTGCTAACCAAAAAAGTATGGTGGCTTAGAAGATGACAGAAAGACATTTCCCACCTTCAAAATATCTTCATAACATTCCCCCAAGAAACCAGGTATCAATAAAGGTACTCTGCAAGAGTAAGCACTGGCAAGTGGCTAATCTCCCCTGCCTCCCTGACATTAGGGTGGCATTTAGCAACCCTCAACCCCATCCATAGGAGGATACCTTGGAGCTCACCTAAGAGTACACTACTCATTCTGCCACTCCACTCCAAAGACTTAGATTCCCTACAGATAATACAATACAATTTGGGAGCAGGGAGGGAACTGACAGAGGCAGAAGCAAGTTCTCTACTTTTATAGCGTGTCTACGATCATAGGCACCTACATAAAAGTTAAAGTCATAACTCTTTTCACATTTGGATACTAGAACACAGGTGCTCACAGAAATCTTATAATCATCTAGTCCACTTCGCTGGTAGGATTCAGGCAGGGAGAAAATCTATTAAAAATTAGGCTGTCCCCATGAAAAGGAACTGATTGGCTTCAGGGAGATAGGGAAGACTTTTTTTGCACTATAAATCCTTTTAAGCTTTTATGCTTTTTGAGTTTAGAACCATGTGCATGTATTATCTAGTCAAACAATTAATTTAAAATTAATTTAAAATTAAGGTTAACTTAATCTAACCTTCTTGTTCTTAAAGGTCAAAGAGGTAAGTGATTTGTTCACTCATCCATTCAAATCCATCTACCCTCTCTTAGTCCCTTAAACTCTCTACCACAGGCATCCAGTAGGACGGCAAAGAATAGTAAATCCCTATCGTACACAAATAGAAGGGATTTTCTTCCTAAATTCTAATTTAGCTCTGCCTCTAACTAGCTATGTGCTTTAGCAAATCACATCCTGTCTGGACCTCAGTTTCCTCAACTGTGAGATGTATGAGACAGACCAGCAACGTTCTGAAGCTGCAACTTATTCATAGGGCATGAAATCAAATTTTGTGAATTGTAGACTATACTGTTTAAAAATGAAATAGAATACAATAGAATAGGATAGAAAATTTCAGAGTATATCACTCATAGAGTAAGAATTGTTTCATGATATTTTTGTTGTAAAATGTATCTCTTACCATAGGTCATAGTTTTAAAAGTTGCAAAGTCATCAGAGTAGATGGCCTTAAGGCTCATTTTAGAGCTGATATTCTGGCATTCTAATTTCCCTGTATTGTGAGATAACAGTGTTTACTTAGTAGCTGAGCGTGCTCTATGCAGGATAAAGACAGGAAATTCTTACCTACACCAAACTGCCACAAATCAATCCCACTGCATCTGGGATTTCTGGGAACAGTATAGCATGTAAAGGCACTAACACAGAGCCTAGCATGTAATAAGGGTCCAATATTAGACAGTTATCATCATCAGTGACCAATAGCATTATAGATAGATTATAGTCATCCTGAATGTTAAATAAAAGCAAATAATTTATTCCCACTAGTAAAGATAAAATGCTGAGGAAGTATCCTTTTTAACCTGTGACTTACTTTGGGAGATCTATTAGTACGGTTTATCACGTCTTTGTTGGGTAAATCCTTCCAAGGCCTAAAAAATAAGAGTTTCCAAACATGAAACAGAGTCACAAAAGACTTACTGGGACGATAAAGTTGGTACTATGAGGAAAAGCCTCCTACTTATCTACAGAAAACCCTCAGCTTAATACTTACCAAATGAATGTACGGTCTCACCATCTCCTTAAGTTGTGTCTCTTTGTTTTCCCTAGAACAGCTTCCAAACAAACACTGTACACTACAGACACTTCACAACTATTTGTTGCATCAAACTGAAGAGCCTATGCGTCTCTCTCTCTCTCTCCAACTACAGATGGCTACGTCACCATCAATTAAAATGTATTAAGTACCTTTGATATAGATGTTTAAAAACATGTTAAATAAAGTGTGGCACAGGCATCAAATGGAATATTTTTCAGTCTTAACAATGAATGAAATTCTGATACATGCTACAACATGAATGAACCCTGAAAACATTATGCAATGTGCAATAAGCTAGACACAAAAGGACAAACACTGTATGATTCCACTTATGTGAGGTACCAAGAATCGGCAAATATACAGACACAAAAAAATAGAACCGAGGTTACCAGGGGCTAGAGGCAGGGGGGAATGGGGAGTTATTACTTAGTGGGTAATACTTGAGATGATGAAAAAGTCCTAGAAATGGATTGTGGCGATGGCTGCACAACATTGTGAATATACTTGATGGTGCTGAACTGTACACTTAAAAATAGTTAAAATAGTCAATTTTATGTTATGTATATTTACCATAATAGAAAGAGAACATCAACCCTTTACATTTTCATATCACTTGCTATTTTATTTGTTTTTTTTTAAATAAATGTATAATGAATGAAGATTGCAAAGAGATGTAAGACAAAGACCCAACTTGTTGGCCTAATTTATGAAGGCCTCCATGATACAGGCCCATGCTTTTTACTCCAGCTCCCTAGCCTCCTCTCTGACCCATTCCTGCTCTATGTTCTACACACAATGAACTTTCATGAAATTACTTTCCTTGTACCTAAAGAATTTCCACTTGCCTCCAAGCCTTTGCATGTGCTGTAGTCTAGAACTCTCTTCCTGTCCACTTTCCACGTGCAACTCCCACTTTACTAGGCTGCTCTGATTTCAGGCCTAGGCACAGATGCTACCTGTACAAAAGACAATGCCCTGGGTCAGGAGCCCTTCCTGGGTGCTTCCATATAACAAGGGGCATTCCTCTCTCCACACACATCACACTGAATTGCTCTTTGCCTCCTCAACTAGGCTGAAAGCCCCTTAGAGGTATCTTATTTACTGTTGTGTCCCCAGCACACAGCAAAGTGGCCCCCACTAAGATTTATTTGTGAATTCAGTAAGTGACTAAACAAAGATGTCATGGTTTGCCTTGACAGGCCCTGACTGCAAAAAAACACTATTTTCTCAGGGTTCAAGTCCCAGAAAACCAGAAAGTAGTCCTATCCTTTCCTATACTACCTTTAGCCTAACAGAAATCATCAAAGGCTGCGTAAACTGAACAGGAGAAAAGAAATCACCATAAGTGCCGCCACTAGTGCCGCTTTGATTCCAGGCAACAGGGTCTTTGAATTTTAGGTCTAAATTTTCCACAGACACCTCCCCCTTAGCTTCCAACATCAATAAGCACAAACTGGGCACCTAGGCTTTGTAGGCGATTCTAAAAGAAACCATTGCTTCTGCCTTTGAGAGCTTAGAAATAATTTGATACCTAAAAGTAAAAGAGAAGAAAGACTGCATATTGACACAGTTTTCTAATGACCTACAGAAGCTACTCCCTGTTAAGGGCTGAACTCTGCCTCCCCAAATTCTTATGTTGAAGTCCTAAGCCCCTAGGACCTCAGAATTTAATTATACTTGGAGATAGGGTCTTTAAGGAGATAATTAAGGTAAAATGAGGTCATATCAGCGGTCCCTAATCCAATATGACTAGTGTGCTTGTAAGGAGAAGAGATTAGGACATAGACACACACAGAGGGAAGACAATGTGAAGACACAGAGAGAAGATGCTGGCCACCAACAAGCCAAGGAGAGAGGGTTCAGAAGAAAACAACTCTGCCAACACCTAATCTTGGACTTCTAGCCTCTAGAACCGTGAGAAAACACATTTCTGTTGTTTAAGCTGAACAGTCTGTAGCACTTTGTTATGGTAACCTTAGAAAACTAACACACCTCTCATTTTAACCAACTTCTACAACACAAGTAAGAATGCTTTCTTATTATTTCCCATTGCCTATTCATCACTGCTTTAGCTAAACTGATGTTTTATTTTTAATCTAGCTTTCTCAAAGTCTGCTGCATGGGCAAAGGAAGTTAACAGAGAATTTTGAGGTAGTAAGCCCATTAAGGAAGACTCCATGATAATTTACCTGCCTTGAAATTTGGAGCCAAACTTTGAACCTTGAGGCAATAAAGAGGGAGGCTTGGTGAAGGTAAATTCTGATAAATGATGATGGGCAAGTCTCCTGGCCTGGAAGCAGGAATCTGCGATGTTTACAAGAGTGAGCACTGGGAGTCTGTCTGAAAGACCAGACCAGAAGAAAACACATAACATGTCAAAAGGGAGCCAAAGAAACAATTCAAAGATCTTGTAAGGAAGGAGACAGGGCTGGCTAACTCACCTTCAGCATTCAGAGGAGACTTGCAGGAGGAGCCCAGAATTCGAGGATGGCCCCTCTCAATCCGGCGAATAGTTGCCCAGCATTGTGGATGCTGACAAACAGCCAGGCCGCAGGTAGTTTCATCCCACTGGCTTTCATCTGGCAAGTCCATAGCTACAAGTAGTTCAGGACAAAAGCCAATCTTGCAACTCTCTAGCCCTCTGGAGAAACATCACCACATAATTAGGGAGTATTATTATATATTAGCCATGGAGTCCAGATATTAATTTGGACTTCCAGCACAAAATATTTTTAAACACCTTTATTGTGGTATGACTCCTGTACACTAAACTACACGTATTTCAAATGTACAATTTGATGAATTTTGATAGATGTGTACACCAATGAAATGACCACCACAATCAAGAAAGCTAACATTTCTATCACTCCCCAAGAGGCAAGAACAAAATATTTCTATTGAACCACATAGATAAATCATGATCACAGGATAATTAAGAATTGGGTGAAAAAAATCTCAGCATAGAGTGACAAGAGTCTGGGTGCAGACTGATTTCAGAAGTTCTTCTAATTTAATTAATACCTGAGTGACCTGAGACTTAGCCAATTTGAGCTTCAGTTCCTCATCTGTAAAATGAGGATAAGCCTATTTCACAACAGGGTCATCATAAAATTTACTTAATGGATATTAAAAGGTCTGGCATATAGTTCAAAATAAATATTAGCATCCTTGCCTTTTCCTCTTCATTAATCATTAGGAAGGAGATGTCATCATCTCCAAAAAGCCTTATCAAATTACAACTAACGTACATGGGACTTGAGAATACGCAGATTTTCGAAAACTTATGGGCTCCTGGAATCAATCCCCTACAGATACTGAGGGAAGTCACAGAAGTGCTTTAGATGGTTCAAACATCTGGAAGATGTGCTTCCCCTTTTAACACGCTCCAGTTCTCATACAGGCAGCTAAAATACCCAACAGAAACGAATGGGTGTGCTCAAACAGCAAATCGGTCGACTCACAGTTGCATCAGAAGCCACTGCTTTGTACTCACTGGCTATATGGTCTGGAGTAAGTGACTTCACTTTCCTCAGCCTCTTTCCTTAGATAAAGTAGGGGATGGGGAAATTTTTCAGTAGGATTGTAGAAGCATTAAATGGGATAATGCACTTCTTGTATGACGTATAACAGGTGCTCAATAAATGTCATCCTTCTCTCTCTAGAAATGTTTTAGGCAATCACTACTACCTGATCCCTAATAACTTTTTAAGGTAAGTGGCCATTTCTTCTTTCTTTTACTCAACACATTTGACTACCAAATATGTGAGGGGATCTGTTATGGGCACTGAGACAAGAATGAACGAAGTAAGCCCCTGTTCTAAAGAGTTTATAATTTAAATCTAAGATAGCAAACTATTGGCCTGGGACTGCACCTGGCCTATGACTTGCTTTGTCTGGCCTTCACTTTGAGCCATTATTTAAAAATGGAAATAGTCCATAATGTCCAGATTTCCGGCTTCTCTTAAATATCTAAGACAGGGGCCCAATCCCAACTAGACAGCAACTGGCTGTAACGGAGCACCACCTCACAACTTCAAACCAAATATATTCTATCCAAATGGAGAGTTCCCCCACCAAACTCTATAACCTCTAGCCGAAACAGTTTCGGTTGCCATTTATCAACACATTTGCTGTTGCTTTTTTCATAATAAGGAAATATTTCTCTGTACTCATGTCTCTATCAAAAAACAGGGAAATTAAGGGTGACCTGAGACAGCAGGTTTCAAGGAAAAAAAAGCAGCATTTCTGCTCAGTAGAAGTAAGGACAATTTGTACGTATGAAATAATGAAAATGATACAATTTAAAAAGCCACTGCAAAACCATGCTGATGTTTTAGACTCGAAAAGATGCATGATGAACAACAATTCGAAGAACTGAAAAATAAATCCAACTTTAACAGGGTTTGTTTTTGAGTGCGAATGGTATTCTTACAACCGGCTGCTTGTTGATTTTTTGTTACCTGACCAGCCCGAACTGAGCCCCGAGGTCCAGTCATGCCCATCTCTGTCTGTGTCGCCATCCCTACCACTATACTGGCAAAAGGGTTCTCGTTAAAATTTTTTTAGGTAACAGTTACCCTTAATACCATTATTACAAAGTTGGGAGGGGTGAAAAGATTAAGGGTGAACATCAGCACCTGCAGAGTTAAAAAAAGATTCCCCGCTTCGTTCCGGAACAGGGAAGAGAGAATCCGACCTCAGAGGGCTAAAAGGAACTCAAAACGGCAAGAAGACCGAAGCCCACTGGGAAAAGCGCCGCACCTCAAGGATGGGTGAGGAGGGCAAAGGGCCCCACCTCCCGTCGGAGGTGGCCCCGCCCCGCCGCTCAGTCCACGCCTTCGTGTCCCACGCTAGCCTCCAGGCTGCGCCGTCTCCAGGCAGCAGCGCAGAGCACTGTGGGGAAAGGACGGAAGCCCCAGTGAGCCATACTTAATTTGGTGAGAAAATTCCAGAAGTGGTGGTGGCGTGAAGCAGGGAAAGTAGCCTGAGAAGGGACGCCGGGTGCCGGTGGCGTCAGATGGAAGCCCCCTGGGGCAAAATCATAGCGGCGTGGAAAGTTCGGACGCACCGGCGACTGGAAGCGGAGGCAGGGCTGGAGGGGAGGAGCGAGGCTATGACGCGCGGGGCACTGTGGGATACCGCGTGGGCTACGCGGAGCAGGACGGAAGCCTCGTTGGGTCAAACCGTGGCGACGCGGGAAGTCCGGACGCCGTAGCTGCCTGAAGAGGAGGCCGGAGGCGCGGGCCCCGGCGGTGGCAATGGCGGAGAGGCCCGAGGATCTAAACCTGCCCAATGCCGTCATCACCAGGATCATCAAGGAGGCGGTGAGCAGCTCCGGTTGACGGATGGGCTAGGGGCGGATGAGCGGGCAGGGGGAAACAGGCCCTGGGCCGGTAGCTTTGCTCACCCCCGCTCTTCTCACAGCTCCCTGACGGTGTCAACATCTCCAAGGAGGCCCGGAGCGCCATCTCCCGCGCCGCCAGCGTCTTCGTGCTGTACGCCACATCCTGGTGAGGCGGGCAGAGCTGGCCAGAGTTTAGCTGGGGTTGAGGCTTAAGGGAGGCGCAGAGACCCCCTGGTTCGGAGTTCGTGGAATGGAGCCCCCAAAATCCCAATAATTGTGTTCTTCCTCAATGGAGGGGGGTTCATAGTCGTCATCCAGTTCCTACAAGCTGTGAAACGAAATAAAACAACAGAATAACTTTGTCTTAACTCTTGTACAGGGAAGGAAGGGACCCACCGTGTCACAAAAATGCATGCATCTAAGACGTAGGCTTACCCATTCCACCCCTGGATGCTCCTTTTCCCACCCACTCCATATGCCGCAAGAGGGGGTCTGACAGCCCTTAATCTTTCAGTGCCAATAACTTCGCGATGAAAGGGAAACGCAAGACACTGAATGCCAGTGATGTCCTCTCAGCCATGGAGGAGATGGAGTTTCAGCGGTTCATTACCCCGTTAAAAGAAGCTCTGGAAGGTAACTACCCTTTCATTTTCCTAACCAAGTAGATGTTCATCGTGTGTGACCTGCTTACCTGGCCCTGAGTCTTTATCAGCTTTGATCCCTTTGAGTCCAGTAAACAAGTATTGGATAGGACTTAGGTGGCATACCTCATATCTGTTTTCTGATGGCTGGGCAGGTTATTTTTCCTTCTGTGCCTCAACTTTTCCAGTTATGCAACAGAGTTAGCTGCTGCAGTCTGGTTCAGCCTTGCCTCCTAACCCCCTCCTTCATCCTTACAGCATACAGGAGGGAGCAGAAAGGCAAGAAGGAAGCTTCAGAGCAAAAGAAGAAAGACAAAGACAAAAAAACAGACTCAGAAGAGCAAGACAAGAGCAGGGATGAGGACAATGATGAAGATGAGGAAAGGCTGGAAGAAGAAGAACAGAATGAAGAAGAGGAAGTAGACAACTGAAGAGGATGAGGAGACTGGCACCGTGGAAGGTACCACTTTGAAACGTGGTACACGTTTGTGTGAAGCTTTTTCCTGCTGGGCAGAATAGTCTTAGGCAGAAGAGCCTGAGAAGAACAAAATAAAAACTGACTAGAATCATCATCAAAACCAGCACTTCCCAGACTCAGAGCATCTGAGTAGCAGAATCCTGTTTTGCTTAATCAGTCTGAAGGTTATGACTTTTTGGCAAGAGTGATTCTGAATGGCTAACTTAATCGGTCGATTTGTTCTCTCTTATTTACTTACATATATAGTTAGGCAGTTTTTGACCCCCAGTTCCCTCCCACCCACCTGCCCCACCCCATACCATCCCCTAAAAAAGTAATAATAACTTCCATACTACCTACTGTGTTCCCAGATCACAGAGGCAGTCAAGGCTCAGGAAAAATTGGGGTTTTGATCATGGTCAGCCTGTTTGTACAGTATTTGGCAATACTAGCTTATTAAAAGTGATCAGATGGCTTAGCTTTAGAAAACTACTAAAAGGATGTTGGAGAACAATGAAATCTGTTCTGTTGTCTCTTAACTTGGCAGTAACATTAATTCAATTTTGGTTTCTACACACTCACTTGGCTTGGAGCTCTTCTATATTGCCTATAGGCATGTAACCTGCTTGGGTGGCTACATTCTGGGTACATAATGCGTTTAAATCAGCAGTGTAGAGTAGAATGAGTCAAGCCAGGGTGTGTCAGTGTCTTACTCTTACAAAACAGATTGGTTAGTCTTAAATGCACCTCACTGCCTGCCATTGTACAGCTTCAGGATTTGCCATCTTCTCCTGGAAGGTATAAAATTCCAGGCTTTCTCTTCTTGTACTCCTCTCTCAGACCTGTGACTATGGCTTTTCATTCCTTCAATTCATGACAGGTTCCAAACTTTATTTCTTCTAGGCACAGCTTTGTCCCTCTGTGCTTCTTACCTCCTGTCTCTGTTCAGCCTCTCTGCTCCCCATTCCCACTTTCTGTCCTTTTTCTCACTTCCTGCTGTCCACAAACTTTGACGACCTGCTTAATATCCCAACGTATAGGTTTCTCCAATTCCCTAGTTCTAATCTCATCTTTTTAAAAAATGATTTTGTAAACCTCTGAACCATAAGGGAAATCTGATGGTGCTCAAGAATCTTAATTCCTCCCCCAAAACCATCCCCTTTAACTGCTTCTGAAGTATCTCTGTTGACCTTTCTTCCTTTTCTTCTCTTTCCATTTGGTGCTTCAAGCACTTTTTTGTTTGTCTCTAAGTAGAGTGCTTGGAGGTTGACAGGTAGTGAAGTGTAGTTTGACACTGTTAATTTGATAAATGGATACAGTGAAAAGTTTGTGATAAAATGAGTGAAGAATATTGAGAAAATTATAATGCTTTGTATAAATAAAGAACATTCTTGTTAAAAGAGAAGACTCCCGTTTCATCCTGCTTGTTTATAAGTGTGCTTTTGAGGAGGACCCACTGACGATGCTCTATATAGTTTTTGGGTTGCGGACTGGACCAGACCCTTGTAAATATGGGATCCTGCATCATCTTGGATGACCAGCAGATGCTGCTCGTCAACAGGAAAGGGTGCTACTCTTCAACCACAGTGACAGCCCTCCATGGCTCCAATGGGCACCCTGTACATACAAGATGTTCAACAACTCCAAACACTGACTGAGTCCGTGCTGTGTGTCCAGCACTGTTCTAAATGCTTTCAAGTATTAACTCAAACCTTAAGGAACACTGCTGCTTCGCCATGATTTCGGCTATAACACTATATTACCTCAAATCTACATAGCTTTTCAAATCATATTTCACAGATACACAACCTCAACAGGCATTAGACCCAGTGGCTTTTTTTTTTCACAGCAGAAACAGCATTCCTTCATTTTTTCCACCTCTCAAAATTATATTTGAATGAAAGCCAAAGTTATTCAATATATTTGTTTCTTATTTCTCCCTTGAAATTTATATTGATGATAAAACAGATACAGTGTCACAGTACTGTCTCTGGGAAAATAGCATACACTGATGAGCCCTTCATAATTGGTTATTATACAATTGATTTTTTTCAAGTATAATGAACTTCAGTTTTTTCATCTCTAACTTGGCAGTATTAATACCTAGGAGAAAGGGGAGTTTTAAAAGATAACAAAATTCTGCACAGTGCCATGTACACAAGGCTTTGGGGTTTGGTTTTGGTTTTGGGTTTTTTTTTTCTCTTCTGTACACATTTTCATTTCCCTTTGAATTAACAGAACAGCTTCAGAACTGGAAAGAATCCTCATTTTTATAAGGAGCACTGAGATTCTTTGAAAGAATCAATATAACAAATCTTGTCTAAGATAAATTTGTTCTCTTTCATAATAGAATGTAAAGTGGACACATACACAGCGTAACATTTGCACTCTGTAATGAAATTAAAGACTAATCTCTGGCTTCTAGTAGACATAGGCAGTGTCATCAACTATTTGATTGTTTTTGGAGCAGAAGAACATTAAGGAATATTGAAATAGTTGAGGTTTAATTCCAGTTTATTCATTCTATATTTATTCATTTCTAATTGTATCTAATTTTGTAAAAAATGTATTGAAGTAATATCTATAACATGTTTCATATAATGTATACAACATTATATTCTATTTCTGTATTACCCTGTAACATGCTCACTACCAAAAATTTAGCTTCCATCCATCGCCATACTGCTGATCCCCTTTACCAATTTTTCCTTCCCCTCACTCCTTCCCCTCTGGTAACCACTATTTTGTTCTCTGTGGGTTTGGTTTGGTTTGTTCATTTATTTTGGTTTTTGTTTTTTATACTCCACATGTGAGTGAAATCATACAGTATTTGTCTTTCTCCATAGGACTTATGTCATTTAGCATAATACCCTCAAGGCCCATCCATGTTGTCATGGAAGGCAAGATTTCATCCTTTTATAGCTGAGTAGTAGTCCATTATGTGTGTCTGTATGTGCATGTGTATATATATACCACACCCTGTCTATCCATTCATCTGGTGGTGGGCATTTAGGTTGTTTCTATATCTTGGCTATTACAAATAATGCCACAATGAACATAGGGGTACATATATGTAGAAACAGATCATTTTTTAACTCCCATGGGCACCACTTAGCTAAGCCCTCAAGTTCCATCTGGATTTGTATGGCTTCCTTTGAGCTCAGTTTCCTGCCTCATCTCTGCTTCCCCTAGCTTCCTCTGTGTACTGCTTGCCAAGTGGCTCTTCCTAGAATGTTGCTATGCTGCAGTGCCTTGCTGCTTTTTATTAAATCAAATCTATTCCTAGACCTGTTACTCAAAGGCTGCTTAAGGAGGGCTCACCTTCTATTGTAATCTTCTACCCCACATAAGTCTTCAGTCAAGAAGAATCCCCCCCAGCAATCCCACTCCTGAGCATATTTTCTGAGGGAACTCTAATATGAAAAGATACATAGATCCCAATGTTCACAGTAGCACTGTTTACAGTAGCCAAGACATGGAAATAACCTAAATGTCCATCAACAGATGAATGAGTGAAGTAGTTGTAGTATATTTATACAATGAAATACTACTCAGCCATAAAACAGAATAAAATAATGCTATTTGCAGCAGCATGGATGGACCTAGAGACCGCCATTCTAAATGAAGTAAGCCAGAAAGAGAAAGAAAAATAGCATATGCTATCACTTATATGTGGAATCTTAAAAAAAAAGGCACAAATGAACTTATTTACAAAACAGAAACAGACTCAGACTTAGAAAATAAACTTATGGTTACAAGGGAGGAAAAGGAGTGGGAAGTGATAAATTGGGAGTTAGGGATTAACAGATACTAACTGTTATATATAAAATAGACAAATAAGTTTATACTGTATAGTATAACTATAGCCAATATCTTATAGTCACCTATAATGAAAAAGAATATGAAAAGGAATATATGTATGTATATGTATGACTGAAACATGATGCTGTACACAAGAAATTGACACAACATTGTAAACTGACTATACTTCAATTTTTAAAAATGGAAAAAAATGAATCCCCCAAAGAATTCTTCTTCCACATGACTTTAGTTCTCACCAAATTTTGATTACCTAAGAAAAATGTTTCCTGAGAGTTGGAACTATAAGTTAAAACTACAGAATTCAAGGACTGGGAAGAATGTTTGAGGTCATCCACTGGTTTTTCTCAGCCACACCTCTATCATCCTTGTAGTGGGATCTGGATTTTGAAGTTTCTCTACTAGGCTAGGGTAATGTTTCTCATCTGTTTCTTATCTCTCCTTTTCATGCCTAGAGATTGTGATCTGGGTTTGGAGGATGGGAGGATTATCATCCTTACCGATGCAAAATTACTTTTGCAGCCTAATCTCCTGTTCTCACAGACAAGAAATTGAGGCTCATCGGAGAGAACTGACTTGCCCAAGATCTTGCCACTAATTTATGAAAGCTGGGATTCTGATCCAGTGGCCCATAGCCTGGCTGCTGCTGCTGTTTCTTTTTTGAACAATTTTAGATTTACAGAAAAGTAGCAAAGAGTGCAGAGAGTTTGCATATAACCATCACACAATTTCCCCTCATGTCAAAATCTTACATAACCATGGTACAATTGTCAAAACTAAAAAAAAAAACCCACTATCGATTAAACACCAAACTATTGGTATCTCACCAGTTTTTCCACTAATGTGCTTTTTCTTTTCCAGGATCCAATCCAGAATATCACACTGCATTTGGTGAAGCAATTTTCTTTTTTAACTGATATAAAATTGACAGAACATAAAATTAACCATTTTAAAATAGGCAACTCAGTGGCATTTAGCACATTCACGACCACCACTTCTATCTAGTTCCAAAACATTTTCATCACCCCAAAATAAAACCCCATACCAGTCAGACAGTTACTCCCTCCCCATGCTTTCCTCCTCACATCCCCTGGCAACCACTAATCTCTAGTTCTTTTTATGCTCTTCACAAGCATTTAGCACATTGCCATGTAACTACCTGGGAGGCATTCACAATAGTTTGGTTGAGTTTGGATTTTATGGGGTTTTTTTTCTTTGTCTTAAGTAAAATATACCAAAAAGGGCAAATAAAAGCAGAGCTTGATAAATTTTCACACACTAAACACATCCATGAAACTCACATTGAGATCAATAAACAACATGACCAGCACCCTAAAAAAGAGCCTTTGGGCTCCCTTCCAGTCACTCCCTATCTCCCCAGTAGTAGTCGTCCTGACTTCTAGCACAGATTAATTCTGCCTGGGTTTGTACTTCATATAAACGAAATCATACAATATGTACTCTTGTGTCTGACTCCTTTTGCTCAACATTCTGTTCAAGATTTATTTGTATTATTGCATTCACAATATTTTTTTATGGATAAAAGTGACAGATTAAGAGAAAATTATAGTTTAAAGGGGGGTGCGGGAAGTGGGAACAAGTTTTTCAGTCAAAAATAAGAGAGACATAGGGAAAACAGATTACACCAAACAGCAACATTCTTAAATTTCCCCCCACTGTTTGAGATCTTAGAGGTAAACGGTCCTAATTAGTTATCAGTAAACTCAGAGATGGAACAGGTGTCACGAAAGAAATATTGGGCAGGGGATCTAAACTGGGGGGAAAAATAAACAATAATTACCCCTACGTGTTGAAGGAGTATGGTTAGCAGACATTGAAGAGAAAGCCCACTGTGACGGGGCAAATTAATCTTCTGGCGATTGTTTTTTCCAATCTATAAAATTCATAGTAACATAGTTATTGTCAAAATTAGATAAGTGAATGTGAAATGTATGGTACTGTCCCTGACTCTTTCATACACACAAAACACTACTTTCTTTCCGCCACCTTTCATATTTGAACACAAATCAGAACTCCAGCAGCTGGGAACTAAGCAGTGTCATATTTCCCTAGCATTAAGCCTCTCTGCCTCTTCGACTTGGAGAGGTATAAAACAGGTCTGGGGTACAAATTTTGAGAAATAAAATCTGACAATAAATGTCATACACCCATGTGCATCCTTCGCAGTTCAGACTTGACTTTTCAGTAATCCCTCTCACCTTTATAAAGAAATTCCTTTGCTAGGTTATGGATCCCGACCCCTGTTTCACTCATTCGATCCTGCCAGTTCATCCAAGCCCCATAAGCCTCAGCAGATCCCTCCTGCCCTTGCACATACTCTGCCGCACCGCCCTCCTACCACCCGACTTTTGGTCAAATTTCTCATTGTACCCATCATAGATAGCTAGGTCGGATCCCCCTCTCAGACTTGGAGTCTTTCCAAAGCGCCCATGTCTTTCACATCACATCTCCCAAACTGCAACAGAGTAAGCCCTGAGTAATTACGCTGGAATAAATTTTCTCTGAAAACTTGGATGGCAGCCCGGTGCTGAACCCAACAACTTTAAAATGCTCAGACGGCAGAAACGGACTTAGCTATTGTGTTGGACATCATGGTGTTATTTTAATGTCCTTGACATATAATTGTTCTTTCCACAAACAACCAGCGCCAAGTATGTGATAGGCTGGGAAGAGAAGGGCTGTAAAGAAAACCTTAGAGATGTAACCGCCTTCCAAGCCGGCTCTCAGCAGCACCTCTCCTGAACTGCTCTTGCGCCCCCAAGTGGGCTCCCTGGGGCCTTCCCTGGCACATGCGCGGACCCCGGCGAAGGGAGGGGCGGGCCCTTTCGGCACACTCGATTGGCCAGGCCTGCCGACGTGCGTGGGCGGGGCCGCGGCCGAAGCTGACCTGTCCTCAGGCAATGTGCCCGCAGGGGGCGTGGCCTGCAGGAGGTCTAGGGCGGGCTGTGAGGGGGGGTGCTGCTTCCGGGGAAGCCGCCCCGCCCCCACGTGGGCCCCGGGGAGACTAAAGCGCGCGACTGCGGTGGCGGGAGCGGCGGCTCGGATTCCTTAGGGAGATAGGTGAGTAGGGGGCCGGACTCGGCGAGATGGCGGACTTGGAGGCGAGGACTGTGGCACCAAGAGCCTTGTGTCCCCAGATCCAGGTTGTGCTGTACGCCAGAAGTGCTCGCGGTGCACCCGGGGACGGAGTCACTGTGGGACCCCTAATTGGGGTCTTAGAGGTAGATTGTCCTACTGCGGCGGGGTTGGGATCTCTGCATGGCTGTAGCCCTGGGAGGCCCGGGTCTGGGTTCCCAGTCTCCTCTCTGGGGTCCATTCCCTTGGAGATCGCGGGGACAGTCTCCATCAGTGCAGAGCCCGAGGTGCCTCGCAGGATGGGGGAGGGAGGTGCAAACAATAATACCCGCTCTGTGCTTGGCTTGTAAGTACATTACATGCATTGGCCCATTCAGTCTTACAACAGCCCGTTGAGGTCCGTTCAAGTCCTTATTTACGAGCTGAGGAAACTGAGGTCACACAGCTGGAAAGTTACAGAACCAGGATTTGAACCCACATCTACAGACTCCCAAACTCACAGGCTTAACCATCATGCTGCCAGCTGCTGCCAAGTCTAGGTTGCCCTTTTACCTCCTCCCTCCCCTACCCACATCACCCAGAGTTCTTCAGGAGCCCAGCTCTGCTGAGAAGCAGCTTTGAAATCTGTACTTAAAGTTATCAAGGGGTAATGGTGGGCACTGAGGACTTCACTGCTGGATATCTGGATTCTAGCCCCAGATCTGCCACTGACCCCCCTATGTGATCTTGGACGAGAGTCTGCCCTTCTCGAGCCCAGTTTCACTATCATTTCAATGATGTAATCAGACAACTTTAAGAACCCTCTTAATCAATATTCTAGGAGTTTGTGAAACTGGCAAATTCTCCTTACTGCTCCAAATGTCTAATCCCAGAGGAGATTAGGCTCTTCAAAGCCAAGTCAGGGCCTGGGTCTCATTCTTCTCTTTAATCCCTGTTTCTAGCACTGGGGCAGGCCCAGAGTGGATATTTAGGAAATGTGGGTTGAATAAACAGGCAGCCTATCGGTCCCTTTTCAGAACTACCTGACAGTCGCTATCCTGGGTGCTGCTGGGGCTTTGGAGTTTTCAGCCCTGGCCACCTTCTACCTAGCTGGCCCTCCTGACTGCCTCCCCTGCTGGTAGCAGAGCCTGCCATAGCTGGCAGCAGCTCCTAGCCTGCTGTGCCAAAACCACAGCCTCTGGAATCCGGTGGTGCACAACATGGGGAGTGGGGGCAGGTTCTGGTCCTACAGCTCTTCTATGCCCCTCCAGATCGTAGCTCTCAGGGCCCAACTTAGGTTACTCCCAAGTTGAGAATGTTACCTTCTAAGGAAGGAGTTACCTTCACAGTCAATCTGAAAATTTTCTTATCCCTCAGTGTCTCCTCTTCCATGAAGTCATCCATCCTCGACTCCCAGAGACACAGGTCCCTCCCATATCACCTATTCCACCCCTCTACTGTAGCATCTGTGTGGTGATTATATCTCCTCCATCACATAAACTACTGGAAGGCAGGGGCCCCACCTCAGATATCTTGGAACACTCTGTGGCCCATACTGGTTTGAGTGAAAGTTCTTCCTTCTGGGTGTGGTGCAGAAGACACAGCTGTGATGGCACACCAGGAGACCGACCTCCAGCTCCCTTCTACTCCTAACAGTAGTAGAAGTAGCTCCAGTTTTACTGTGTGGCTGCTTTTCCAGGCATGTCCCTCTTTCCTGTCTCTGATCTTCTCTACAGCTTTGCGAGTTTGGTAGTATCATTCCTATTTTATGGATTATGAAATGAAGACTCTGTAACCTTGCCCAAAGTCACACACACAGCACAGATCAGCCCTGGGACTGTTTGACCCTGAAACATTGTTCTTTCTGCTTTGCCTGATACAGCCTTCCAGTTAACTAACCTGTTCTGAATCCCATGATGGCTTGCCCTTGTCTTCAGTGTGGAGTAACAGGATTTAAGCTGTGGCTTCCAGGCTCCCTTGATTTGGGAGAAGTACCACTCCCCAGTATGCGAAAATCTTCCAATCTGTAAGGGACTTTTTACAAAGCAAAACTTCCATCTGGATTTGGCTCTGCAAGCAGAGAAGCACTCTGTTGCTCTGTTTAACTCCGCAGATATTTATTAAGCACATGTTGTAACATAATGACTATGCGTTGGTGCAGGTAACAGGGCACTTGAGTAGAAGCCAAGAGACCCAAGATCAAGCCTAGCTCTATACCTGACTCATTGTGGATGTCAAACAACTCCTGTTGCCTTTCTGTTCCCTTCTTTCCACATCAGAATGTAAGGGATTAAACAAGCTCGGTGATTTTTAACTTTTTAATTTTTTCAGCACTCATACCCATTTCTCAAATCTCACTGAATCCTAAAATTAAAAAAACAGATACAAGTGGACCGCCCTAGTAAGGCCCCCCTCTCACCACTCTCACCCTCCTCCCTTGACCCCTACTCCCAAGCCCCTAGTCTCTGTGTGAATTGGACTGCAAGGCCCCTGGGCAGCCCTGCCCTGTTGCTTCCGATAAGCAGAAGGCATTTATTTGCTCCTCAGCCTTCTGAAGTAGATGCTGAGTTGAGGCTACTGGAATGCAGCTTTAGATTCCAGAAGCCAGGGGCCTGCTGCTACAAAGGTTGTTTTCTGGGAAAGGAGTCAGAGACATAAAAACCTAGCTTCAAAACATGATAGACTCTGCAGAATGACATTGAGCAAGTCAGTTAACCTCTCTGAGCCTCTGTTTCCTTATCACTAAAAGTTAGAACAATTCCCAGCAATTAAATGAGATTTTATATATATATATAAAGTACCTAGTGCAGTGCCTGGCACGTAACATTCACTCAGTATATTTTTCTCTGGTATCCTCCATCTCTCCAGCCCCAAGGCAGAGAGAGTATAGGTAGATAGCTGCCTACTGAATCAAGTGTTTTTCAATAGTGTTGGGTACAGTAGGTAAAACACTAACTCAAATTCTGGCTCAGTCACTAACTGGCTGCGTGATCTTGGGCAAGTGACTTAACCTAGGCTGGGCTAGACCTGAAAGCAGAACGTTGCACAGAATGGGCACTCAGGACTTTGTATCTGCTGTATGATTGCTCATATGGGGGTTGGGACATCTTTGGGGAGGCCTGGCTTGCCCCTGGGTCAGATGATGTGCTGGCCCAGGGGAGTGGTGGTAGGGTGGAGCCCGTGTGGCTCCTGATAACCCCAAGCCTGCCCAGGAGGAGGATCAGACAAGACAGGCCCCTGAGCTGGCTGGGAGGGAGCCAAAGTGGCCTGGGAGACTGGGAGGTGGGAGAGAGGAAGGCATCATCAATGTACTAAAGGACCCCCCCAACACCAGGCCCAGAGAGTGTACAGCCTCGGGTAAGTCCCTGCCTCTCTCTGGACTTGAGGTTCCATTCATAAAGGGAGAGACCTGTGGCTCTGTTTTTTTCCCTTACTTGGCTATTAGGCACCTCCAAAAGGAAATGTCTGAAATGGAGCTCTCCACCTCCTCTCCAAGCTTGGCTCCCCACCGCCCTCTTCCTGCCTATCCCTGTCTCTGCTGCCCTCAGGGTCAAGCAAGCTAGAGCATCGGCCCCTAGAGACTGCCTCTTGGCCGCCTTTTGACGGCCCCTCCTTCTCCACCCCTCTGAACCCACAGCCTCTGTCCTCTGCTTCTAGTCTGCTCTACTCAGGCTGCAAAAATTATCTTCCGAAAGCCAGGCTCTGACCAGGCCACTCCCCTGCCTCCTGCTCAGAAATCTTCCTAGTCCTCAGTCTGCCCTCCCACCACCTCAGCCCCTCCCCTCCAAACATACACCCTCCATTGCCTCTTCAGTCCTCAGAACAGTCCACAGCCCAGCCTCTTTCCCCACCCTGGCCCCTTTCTTCCCTTCCTAAGGGAACGCTCTCGCCTTTCCCTTTGCCAAGCTGAACACCCGCATCCTGCAAAACCTAGTTCAAGTCTTATCTCCTTCCAACAAGCTTCTCCTGCCTCCTGACTCACATTGGAAGCCGTGGTTCATTCATAGTAGGCTCCACCTCTTCAAGATGCACTTGGTCAGCCCAACCTCCCAGGACTGCAGTGCCAACTCGATGAGAAATCATATGTGCGAGTGCCCAGTGTGGCCTGGCACATAGTAGGTACTCAAGAAACAAACGTTAATGCCCCAGCTTCCTCCAGCCTTACATCCCTTACTTGGAGTTTAGGGCACCTTGTACTTGTACTTCATGTAATTACCTGTTGACTGGGTGGCAGACGGCTGTGGGGAAGGCAAAAATGAATTAACTCTGGACCCTGCCCTGCAGAAGCTCTGCCTACTGAGACAAGATAAGCTAGGTCCACAGAGAACTGTTATATAAGAGAGATTGTGATCTGGGCAAGAAGAGTTGCTGCAGTGCCAAAGGAAGGAGGGGCCATCTGGGGGAGAACCCGGGAGGGTTTGGGGGTGGGGAGGTTGTGGGAAGACAGTCAGCCAGAAGGTGGCCAAGTGTGGCTGGTGTTTGGGGAGCAGGGGAAGGTCTCAGGCTGGAAAAGACAGCTTCCGTGGCTACTCCGCAGAGGGTGTGTCTGTCTGTCTGTCTTTCGGGCAAGGTGCTCTTTAATCCTCTTAGTGTCCTGCCCGACAAGAAGTCCGTGAACCAGGGGGTTAACAGTGCTTTTCTTTAGAGGTAGGATTACGGAAGAGTTTTCTCTTTTTGCTTATCTGTGCTTTTCTAAAAGTTCTGCCTTGCACATGACATTGTTCATGGAATAAGCAAAGGTTAAGTAGTGGCTTGATCAGGGCTTCTCATACTAATTTCCAGTCCATCCCAGACTGATTCTTTGATAAAATACAGTGAATTTACTAGAGACATGTTGTTTTAAAAGAGAGAGACCATATAAAATACGAACCCAGATTTTATATTATTAAGAGTCAAATCGCTCTGAAATTCAGTTTCTGAATGCCTACTTTCCTTTGTCTACTTGGTGTAGACAGGCAGGGATTGGTGAACCATACGAGGAGTAGCACTGGGGCAGGGAGCAGGGTAGGCAGGAATCTGGAAGAGCCTGGGGGTATGTGACCATCTCCTGGTGCCAGGGGCCATGTCTCATGCACCTGCCATCACTCCCACAGAGTTGAGCACGCAGACCCCCCAGAAACCGTCCATTCCAACCAGCAGGCTGCCCTGTGCCCCCCTGCCCACCATGCAGCCCCAGTCAGTCCTGCACAGCGGCTACTTCCACCCACTGCTTCGGACCTGGCAGACAGCCGCCACCACCCTCAGTGCCTCCAACCTCATCTACCCCATCTTTGTCACGTGAGTCCCCAAGTGAGCCAGGTCTCTGGTCTGCAGGGGGTGGGTTGGGTCTGTGGGAGTGGGCAGGTGTCTGTGTGGTTGCGGGTGGTAAAGTGGGCTGCCAGCTGGGAGCTCAAGGTACTGGAAGTAGCCTACTGGATTAAGGACAGCCATCTTAGGCAAAAAAAAAAAAAAACCTTGGAAGAAATAGTCCTTCCACTTGGAAAATAAAAATAACCCTTGCCTGTCATCCTGAGTTTTTGCAATAGGGCAGAAGCTGAGAAGATGTTCTGTAGATTGTAAAGTGCTGTGTACATGTAAGAGGGGACAGTCATGACCATTCATAACAGCAACAGCTGACACTTAAACTGAGGACTTAACTGTGTCCCAGCTACTACTGTACTGTGCCAAGCACCTACGTATATTACCTCATTCACTCCTGACAGTATTCAAATGAGAAAAATATGGAGATTATCCCTTAGAATGTCATCTCCACAAGGGCAGGGATTTTCGTCTGTTTTGTTCACGGTTGTATCGCCAGAGCCTAGAACAGTACCTGGCACATAATAAGTGCTCAGTAAATAGTTGTCAAGAGAATGAATGAATCCACCCAGCATACAGATGAAGGGCCTGAGACTCAAAAAAAGTACCATTTGGCCAAGGTCACCCAGTCAGTAAGTGGCTGAGATAGCAAGCAAGGACCTTCTGACTTGAGAGTCCAAGTTCATAACCACTTGACTCCTTCCTCCGAGTACTGTTCTTGTAGTACAGTTGCTTGTTGTCACTGCTATTCTTGTTGTTCCTATTATTATTTCAGGCCCTGGGCTTGGCCAGGCAGGGGAACCAGACCCGGAATCCCATCCTCCTCCCACCACCTCTACTTCCATATTCCTTCCCAGCTTCCCAAGCATCCCTCCCAGTCACCCCCTCACCACTGGCCCTTCCCACAGCAACCAATCCATTGCCCATCCCCCGCTCTTGCAGGGATGTTCCTGATGACAAACAGCCTATCGCCAGCCTCCCAGGAGTGGCCAGGTAGGAGACCTGGAGGGGAGGGCAGGGTTATGATGGAGGGAGCGATTTCACAGGTGGAGGTGCCAGGAAGCAGAAGCAGCCCCAGGAGGTGGACGATCCGGAGAGGACAGCTTCAGTTCAGAAGGGTTTTCTCAGGGTCAGAGTTGTTTCACAACAGAAGAGGCAGCCTCGTACAGTAATGAGCTACCCACCACCAGAGGCATCATAGCAGAAGAAAGCTAAACCTCAGAAGGGAGTTCAATAACAGAACCTTGAAGGGGCCTTCCACACCTGAATCCCATAGCTCTGCTACATGGGGCCTCAGTTTTCCAGTCTATACTGTGGGGCTTGAGCCCTCCTGGTGCCTGTGCAATTTGGCTCTTAACAGAGGCACAGGCCAGAGGGGTGGGAGGGACCCTTGCCTGGGACCTGCCTCACTTTAGCCCCTCCACGCAGGTATGGTGTGAACCGGCTAGGAGAGATGCTGAAGCCCCTGGTGGAGGAGGGCCTGCGCTGTGTCCTGATCTTTGGTGTCCCCAGCAGAGTCCCCAAGGTGAAGAATCAGAGGAGGGGACCAGAGGGAAAGGGAAGGGGAGGACGGGTGAGGCTTAGCTGAATTTCCACACTGACCACACCCTCGCTCCTGCCTTGTGCTGGCCCTGGGGCCACCAGTGAATGGCCATGGCCCTTGCCCTTCAAACACCAGCCACGTAGGGTCAGGAAGCTAAGGAGGGCCGTGGCTCCCTGAACGGGCAAGTCAGGTCCCCTCTGCAAAATGCGAACAGTCCTCACTGTGCCTCCTTGTCCAGGGACAGTGGTGGTGATAAAAGGAGGGCTGGGGCTGCGCTCTGATGGCTGGCCACGTGCCTCCCGACAGCTTCACGTGACTAACACACCACTTTGTCCACCCCTTCCACTAGGATGAGCGGGGCTCTGCAGCCGACTCTGAGGACTCCCCAACTATTGAGGCGATCCGTCTGTTGCGCAAGAACTTCCCCAGCCTCCTGGTGGCCTGTGATGTCTGCCTGTGCCCCTACACCTCCCACGGTCACTGCGGTGAGCTCCCTCCTTCCGCCAGCCCTGCCGTCCCCCTGAACTCCCACTGCAGTGGGGAGGGGCCAAGGCCTGAGATGCTCCCCCAAACACAGCCATCTGTCCTGCAGGGCTTCTGAGTGAGAATGGCTCATTCCAAGCCGAGGAGAGCCGCCAGCGGCTGGCGGAGGTGGCACTGGCCTATGCCAAGGCAGGTGAGTGAACCATCGTCAGGGATGTGCATCTCTGGGTCGGGGAGGTGGCAGAGTGAGTGGGATGGTTCCAGAGTTCTGAAGGCCACCCTCTGCCATTCAGGGTGTCAGGTGATAGCCCCGTCGGACATGATGGATGGACGTGTGGAAGCCATCAAGGAGCTCTGATGGCACATGGATTCGGCAACAGGGTAAGTGCAGGGAGAGACAAGGGGAGGTGAGAGAGCCTGGACCAGACTTGTACCTCTAGCTGTACCTGAGATGGAGAAATCAAAGCCAGGAGCTCCAACGGGACTAGACACAGGCCTCTATTTCCAGCCTGGGTCCTTTCTCTCCCTGTCCTTCACCCTGGGACACCTGGAAAGGGCTGGCTGAACCTCGACACCTACTGTCTCCCCGTAGGTATCAGTGATGAGCTATAGTGCCAAATTTGCTTCCTGTTTCTATGGACCTTTCCGGTGAGTGGGGACAGACAGGGGTCTGCCATTGAATCCCTGACCCGATAGCCCAAAGCTGGAGCCCACCCTGGTGCCTCTGCTTCCCAGGGATGCGGCTCAGTCAAGCCCAGCTTTTGGAGATCGCCGCTGCTACCAACTGCCGCCCGGAGCGCGAGGCCTGGCCCTCCGCGCGGTGGTGAGTGACCAGAGCTTTAGCCCCACCCAGCCTGTCCCCCTCTCACCTCACCTCCCGGGCACTGCCCACACCATACCTCATACCTTAGGACCGGGATGTTCGGGAAGGAGCCGACATGCTTATGGTGAAGCCAGGAATCCCCTACCTGGATATTGTGCGGGAGGTAAAGAACAAGGTGAGCACAGGGCAGAGGCCACAGAGGGGAGATGGCAGTGTGTCCACAGATTCTGGGACCTTGGATCGAGGGACTGCAGAATCCCAGAGTTGTAAGCGATCTGCCCCAGAACGGGAACCCTCCCCCTCCCTGTCCCTGCCTGTGGCCCTGTGCACCAGGGCTTGCGGGAGCCTTGGAACAGCTCTGCTTTAATGGCTCAAGAATGGGCCAAGCTGCCAGTATCACGCTCAGGGTGTGGGGCTCAAGACGGTCACACATGGGGCAGGGAGGAAGGGACACTCCCTGAGGCACACCCACCTTCCACTTCAACTTGTCTGCCCCCGCTGCTTCTCTGCAGCACCCTGAGCTCCCTCTCGCTGTGTACCACGTTTCTGGAGAGTTTGCCATGCTTTGGCACGGAGCCCAGGCTGGGGCGTTTGATCTCAAGGCTGCCGTGCTGGAGGTCATGACCGCCTTGCGCAGAGCAGGTAAGCAGGCAGGGGTGGGGTTTTCTGACATGTGCCACAGGGACCAACAAGCACATTGCCCTAATAGGGAATCAAAGTCATGAGACAGCCTAAGGTCTTCTGCCTGGAAATACCAGTGATCTAAACAGACAGGTTGAGGAAGGGATGTGAAACTGGGGAACAGAATATGGAACAGTAAAGCAAGCGGAGTCCCCTGTTGCTTTTCGATTTTGAGACCTTGGCCAAGCCACTTCTCCAACCTTAGTGTCCTCGTCTCTAAACTAGGGATAAGATGGTTGTCAAGAAGGTGAAATGAAGGGGAGGGTATAGCTCAGTGGTAGAGTGCCTGCCTAGCATGCAGAAGGTCCTGAGTTTGATCCGCAGTACCTCCATTAAAAAAGATAAATAAATTAAAGTACCTAATTACCCCCCCAAAAAAAGAAGATGCAATAAGATGATGCATGTAACTGGCATATGCTTATCACTCATAAATGGGAGATGGCTTTGTTGGTTAAGCACACAGCTTGGGGAGGAAACACACCTTACAGTTTCCCCCACTGTGCGGTTTTATACATTGGCAAACTGAGGCCCAGTATAAAATGCCTTCCCCCCAGGTCACACAGGGTACAGGGCTCAGATTGACCGGAACTGAGCTCAGTCTTAGGTTGGGACACCCAGGGCTGTGCCTCTTTCACAGTAGCCTTCTTACCTCCCTGACCCTCGTCTCCCAGAAGGTATTCCCACAGCTGATGCCCGGCCCCTCCCCGGCTTCCTGTTTCCCTCCTGACACAGGTGCCGACATCATCATCACCTACTACACACCTCAGCTACTGCAGTGGCTGAAGGAGTGATGGAGAAAGTATGCAAGACCCAAGAACTAGAGCTTCTAAAATTCCCAGGTCTTGGAGAAGTGAAAACCAAAGTAAACGCTGCTTTTAGAACTGTGCGATCGTGCCCTCTTCCTGCTTACGTGCTGGCACACACCCAGAAGCCCTGGGTGGTTGCTGCCGGCGTGCCAAATCTTCCCACTCGCAGCCACATCCTCACGGGCTCTCCTAAGCCTCCCCTTCTCTCCCCTGGGTCAGCCGTGAGGCTCACCTCTGCCACCCTGGCTCCTTCCTCTGGCGTGGCCTCAGCTTGAAAGCCACCATGAGTCACGGGCATTGGCTTGGTGGGGCCTGGGAGAAGAGCTTGGCGCAATAAGGGAAAAGGAGGGCAGTTAGATCTTGGACCCTAAGAAGCTCTGGGAAGTTCAAAGCCTCTGGCAGCAGAGCTGGGCACACTGGGACGAGGCCTAGATTGACATGCTGGGTTTAGGGTTCAGATTTGCTTTGATTCCTCTGGAAGGCAGTTCCCACATAGGCCAGTGATTTCCAGGCTGCCTGAGATCTGTTTTACTCTGAGCCATAAACCCAGAGAAGAATTACTCATTAATGAGCAGAGAAGACTTACTCATTAACAGGCAGAAATGCTGCCTAAGGATCAGAATTCAGAAGCAGAGAGAGTTTGTGACTGTTGGAGATGCCACCACCAAAAAGGCTTTGAGTGAAGAGCTATTTTTTGAGATCATCTGCTCTGTGCCCAGGCACAGTGCTGGGTCCTGGGGATATAGCAGGACAGACCTCAGCTTGTCTGCATGGAATCAACACAAGGAGAACGGGGGGCGACAGACAACAAGAAAACAGACAAATAAAGCAGTTACAAGTCTAATAGTGCTTTGAGGGAAAGAAAGGATCTGAGACAGAGTAACAGATGTTGGGCCTTTCTTAAGAAGCCCTCCCTGGGGCTGAGGGACAAGGAAAGACCCTTCCGGAAAGCAGAGGGAAGCAGACGCCAGAAGCCCCGAGAATGACACAGAGTGTGCAGGACCCTGCGGTGGGAGGAGCTTGGCAGGGCTGCTGGGAGCCGGCTGAGGAAGGCGAGGTGGGCGACAGGCCTGGAGGTCGGAAAGGTAGATCCTGCACCTTTTAGGAGGTTTGGGTTTTACCTTGCATCTGATAGAGAGCTATCTGAAGGATTTTAACCAGGAGTTGTATATGTTCCAATTTCCCACATTCTGCTGTTCTGAAAACACCGGAGGGGCAACTCAGAAAAGGCCTGGGTTGGAGGTTGTTGAGAGCCTCAGGAGCAATGACAGTGGCCTGGACCAGGGTGGTGGCAGTGGAGAGAAGGAAGCAGAATGTATTCAGGATACATTCTGGAGACACAATTAGCAGATTCTGCTGATGCTTTCACACTGGGGGAGAATGCGGGAGGGGATGGGAGGAAACGGGGTTGCCTTTGTGGTTGAACTGGTTGAGTGGTTTCAGTTTATTCTGAGGGTGACACAATGTAATGTTTCCCCCTAATAAAACTAAGGAGGGGCCAGTTTGCAAATCCACTTGCCTGTCTGCAAAGTGACAGAATTCCAGCTCTCTAGCCAAAGCAAGGTTAATTTGGATTTTAAAGCAGTACAACCTGTTTTAAAATTTAGAATTATTTGAGTCAGAGGCAGCTCTGCTTTGACTCCTGGTAGTCCTCCCCCAGGGCTGTGGCCAGCCTAACTGAAGACCTGATCTTATTCCTCAGCCTTTGGGAGGTAGCCAGCCAAAACTGGGACTTGAAGAGTCATCTGGAGGCCCAGAGCATTAATGGGAGATGAACCACTGGTGGGCCTCAGGACTTGGACCACACCAGAACCTCCTGCCACCTTAGTTCCTGGGCTTCCTGACCCCTGGTCCCTAAGCTCATTTCTGGTTAGTGTGGAAGGGAACATTCTTCAAGACCATACCACACTCATCATCACCAAGCAAATATAGCGCCTGGCTATGTTCTAGGCACAAGGAGATGGGAGACAGACACTGCCCTTTAGATGCAAACAGTCCAGGAAGCAAACAACTTTGTGTGTCCAGAGTCCCCAGAAGTCAGCATTGAGCACAACGATGATAAATCTTCCAGAAGAGAACCAAGAGACAGACATGTTACCAATGATACGGTAACAGGTGCTGTGAAGGTCACTAGGGCCTGACCTGGTTTGAAGGATCGGAAAAGGCTTCTCTGAGGTTCTGGCATTTAAACCTAGACCTGGAGAATGAGCAACCAAGCTAAGACAGGTTTAGGGAAGAGCCTTCCAGGGAGGGAGCCCCATGGCTAAAGTGAGCTGGAAGGTGGGTGTGACTGGCACTCAGAGAAGGGGGGGGGAGGCCTGAACCAAGCAGAGAAAGACCAGAACCAAACCATGCAGGGGCTCAAGAGCCATGTTTAAGGAAGATGGGGAGCCTTTTCATTATTCCCAGAGAAAGGGAAGCCATTTGAAAGCCTTTAGCCAGGGGAATGACTCACTCTGATTTGCATTTTATAAAAGCATTTCTACAGCCCAGGGGCAGAGTACAGGAGAGAAGTGTGGCCTGGACTGAGTGGTGACATGGGATGGAGTAGGGAATTGATTTAGGAAGTAGATTAGATGTCAAGGATGACCTTGGCTTGAGCTCCTGGGTGGCTGAAAGGCTATTTACTGAGACAAGAAAGCTTGGAAGGGGGTCAGGATGGAAGGGGAATGCTAAATTTAGCTTGGGTTTGCAATGAGGAAGCTCTGTCTAGAGAGTTTCTTTTGACTCTCCCAAGGCTGGTCAACAAGTTTGTGGCAGAACAGGATAGCAAACCCCCATCACCGCAAACAGCAGAGCTGGGACTTGAACTCACATAGCCCAGCTCCAAGGCCTCGACCCTTACCCACTGTGCCATACCGCTTCCTGCTAAATGGTAGCAAAATTACTGGTGTAACATGATGCTGTTACTAGCTCCAGTAATAGGGCAGACCAAGAGGCTGAGCTGCCTTCAGGCATCATGGTCCTAGTGAGTGGCATTCTCCGGAGTCAGGACTTGTCACCTGAGGTACCAGCCTTCTCTCTGCTCCAGCCCCTCCTATGTTTTGTCTCTAAAGGCAATAATGGCCAGGCAGGCAGCTGGAGGGGTTTGGATAATCCTGGGGGGTCTGGTTCCTCCACAGTTCCCATCTTCTGTTGGGTGCCCTGCTCTTGCTAGTAGTAATTCTATCCTTGGGCAGAGAACTCAGCCTTCACAATCAGCAAGGCATATTATTCTCAGATCTAGCATCTGGTGAGCACTAAGGGCCTCTCTCAACAAGATTTGATTTTCTTCTTTCCCTCTTAGATGTCCAGCTTGGACCCTAATTTGTCTTCTTCCTAAAGGCCACAACAAATAGCCAACGCATTCCATCATCCGCACCTTTTGCTTTACTAAAATCCCTAAAACTAAAACCTCAGTTGTATGGCTGCAGGTCCCAAAAAACAACAGGCATTTTAACCAGCCACTGGATTACCAATTTCCTAACTAGGGAAGGGGGAATCCGGACCTGTTCCATGCTCCATATGGACTCTGTCAATTCCACATATTAGGGCCCATGACCTGCAGCACCCCACAGTCTGCACTGTTCTGGGTACTCTTGGTTACAAGTGACAGAAACCCAATTCAATAGCAAAAAAAGGAAATAACTGGTTTTCACAGCTGGATTGTGATAAGGTCAAGTGTGGCTGGATCTAGGGTCAAAGATTCTCACAGAGACCTCTGTCCCTTCCCAGTTCTCATGTAGGTTTGCCTTGGCTTTATTCTAGGGTGGGATTTTCCCACTTGACAGCAACATGACCCTTAGACAATTATAAATCCTTAAGATATATAATTCCAGAGAAAGGCAGATAATTACTATCCCATTATTCACATATTAAATCTACAGAGGTTTCTGATTGGCCCTGCTCAGGTCACATGACCAGCCTCTTGGTTCAGTCATTGTAAACAACAGCATAGGAGATGTGGCACCATGATTGGTGAGGTCTCCCTCACACAGAAGGCTGTTGAGATCTCAGAGATTATGCACAAGTGGTCATCCTCTTTGCCTAGAATGCTTTCACTCCAAATCTGTATGGCTGTCTCCTTTTCAATTGTTAAGATCTTGGTTTAAGTGTCACTTTCTTAAAGAAACCTGCCCTGACACCCAATTTGAAGTCATTCCCCAGTCACTCTGTATTAGGATTCAAGTTCAGTGCTCAAAAGCCAAAATAACGATAGCTTCAGATGGAAATGTTTCTAAGTTGTCCAGGCTATGTCAGTTACATGGTATGAGGGTCAGGGCCCCTGCCTTATTCTACCATCCTCAGCATATCTCAGCTTCACCTCGTGATCACAGGTGTGGGTGGGTCCAGTTCCCACCATCAGGCCCTCTCTTCAGTCCTCAGAAAGAGGAGACAGGCAAGTGGAGGGCAAGACGCCTTTTTATAAGGGCACAACTCAAACACTGCACACATCCCTCTGCCCTTGTCTGAACTTAATCACATGAGCACACCTAGTTGTGTAAGGGAGGCTGGAAAATACAGTCAGGTGGGGCAGCTGCATGCTCAACTAAAACTCAGGTTCAGTTACTAAGAAAGATGAAGAGAAGAGATGGGGGCAAACGGCCATCCCCACCACATGGAGTTTCTTGTAATCACAGAAACAGTGCTCAGGATATCAAAGTAAAGAGCTTCTTATGGTCCATCTAGTTAACACTCTAATTTTATAGACAGGAGGCAGACTCAGAGAGGGGACTTGTCCAAATTTACACAAGCCAGTGGCAGGCCAACGCTGGACTCAGGCGTCTTAACTCCAAGCCCAGTGCTCACAACTAGGGAAGGGATTGCTTTTAGAGGGACTTTATCTTTTGATGTATTACCTTTTATGTATGACCTCAGCTTCAAGGGCATTTTTATATTCATGTATTATATCTAACAAGGATATAGTCTTGTTACTTGTGTAAATTAAATGAAAACTTAGCCAATACATATATGAAAAAGGCAAATACAATGGAGAAATTCTAATTAAAACTACGAGATACCACCATACATCCATCAGAATGCCTAAAATTTTAAAAAGAGAAACAGTACCAATTGTCACAAATGTGGAGCAAGTGGAACTCTCAGACATGACTGGTATAACCACTTCAGAAAAACGGGCCCCATCTATTGAAGCTGGACATTGGCATACCTGATGGCTAAGTGATTCCACATCAAGGGATTTACCCAACAGAAATGTGTGCACACGTCACCAAAAGACATGTTCAGGAATGTCCATAGCAACATTCTAATGTTTGTAATAACCAAAAACTAGAGAGAACCCAAATGTCCATCAACAATAAAATGAGGTATATTCATATCATGGGATATCACAGGTAGGAGAATGAATGACCTACAACTACTCATAGCAACATGAATAAATCTTACAAGTAAAATTTTGAGCAAAGGAAGCAAGTTCAAAACAAGTATAATCCTGCATTTAGAAGTCAAGGTAGTGACTCCCCTTTGTGGGGTAAGTGACAGGGACAGGACAGGAGCTCCAGGGTCTGGAGATGTTCTTTTTCTTGGTCATAGGTATGTTCCCTTTGTAAGACTTCAAGGACTTGTACACTTCTTTGCACTTTCCTCTATGTATGACATATCTTTTTAAAAGTTAACTGAAAAAAATAAGTAAATGAAATTTTAAAGAGACGTGTGTCTCGTATGCCCAGCTTGGATTTACTTAGTGCTTTTGGATGAGACTCTCAAGAAAAAAAGCCCTCATGTAAGAAACTTGGTTTCTCAAAGAGAAATATTGGCAAAATTCATTCATGCATAAAAATATGCTTTGGGCTTTGATGGAAATAAAAATCATTTGGGTAATCATATACTCCCTGCTGAAATGACCAGTTCTGAGCTGCTAAAGTGGCCTATTAAAAAAAAACAAAAAACTGTGAATATGTCAGGTCACAATTTCTCATTCTCCTTAAGTGCCACCCTTGAGAATTGTATGACTGTGGCAATTGAATTATGGGGATAAAAAACCCTGAAAAAAATCAAAATCCACAAAATCCATACAGAATAAAAGAAGGATTTAATCACATATGGGATAGCAGCTGCTGGCTTACTCCTGAATATGGAAGGTTCCCCCTTATGTTGGGAACAACAAAACCATACCCATTCTCACTGGCCAAACTCTACCGGACAATGTGGGTGGACTCCTTTAGAATGATGTGATCACCTCATAATCTTAAAAGCCAGTGATTGGTTAGCTACCAGCAGGCTTGAGAGGCGTGATTTGTCTGGATGGCTCCAAATGGAACCCATGTGGCAGCAACCTTTGGCCCTGGCTGGATAGGAAGGTACACACTGGGATTCCCTTGGGCCCAAGGCCATTAATATGCTACCCTGCCAAAAACACTTATTGCCAACCTGCCTTACTTCAATTCCTGATGGAGCCGTTCTGTTTTCAAATGGTATGATCACTTGCCAAACTTCTTTGTCCCCAGTATTGGGTTGCAAAGCATAGCTTTACACGTAGAAGCACTGGCTAAGTTTGCCCAAAAAGCCCTAAATGATAGCCAATGAGGCCTGTCTCTTTTAAACTCTTTTAAAGTTCAGCTAATGAGAAAGGCAGTTTTATAAAACTGAATGGCCTCAGATATCCTACTGGCCTCACAAGGAGGAACTTGCGCTGTAATTCACACCACGTGCTGTACATTCATACCTGATGAATCAGGTAACATAACCTCACTTCTAAGTGACATGAAATCTCAGATCCAGAATATCAGGGATGCCAGTGCTTATGCAAAAGAAATACCAAGGTCACCATCTGGTTTTCAGGCCTATTTTCTTGGATTCCTCAAGGCCTTCGGTCTATCTTTCTTGGAACATTTCAGTTTTTGCTCTCTATACTAATAATGGGACTTCTTTGTTTATATACTAATTAGACTAGTACTATGCTGTATAGTTCACCTATGTGAATAAAAACCACTAAGACTCTTTTAAAACCCCCTAATAGTTGGTCTGATCACGTTCATTCCTTCCATCAAAAATTGCCCCAGACAATGCCCCCATTCAACAGATGAGAATGACGTCCATCTCCCTATTTCCATAGAAACGGAAGGAATGAACTAACAGTGGGGATCTGAAAGAGTGAAAAGCCTAACTACCAAAATGGCTTCCTTAATGCTACGACTGCTTAATAGTTCCCTCTGCATGATTCACTCTAACTTGTTTTCCCTCTTTCTATACTATGGCCCTGTCACTGATTTAGCTGCTTAACTGCCTACATGCTTAGCAACCCCACCCCCATGACTGTATCATGCCCTAAATAACTCGTCCCTTAAGCCAGGAGCTATGTTTCAGGTGAAGAGTCAAGGAACAATAACCACAGGAGAATGACCTCCAGAGTTTCTCTGTGGCACCAGGTAAGTCTGACCAGGTAAAGGAGGTCACGGGCTGATGACCTCCCAGACCACCAGAAGGTCCCATGACACCAGACGGACTCATTAAGATTTAGAAGGAAGTTTCACCAGGGACCCCTGTTGATTGTTGTCACCTTTATGCTCCAACCCCTTTGTCTATATAATCACAAAGCCCCAATCCCCAGATGGGTTCACAGTCTTTGAGACTTTAGCCTGCTCTGGTACCCTTTGCCTGACAAAGCAATAAAGCTGTTCTTTTCTTTTGCTCCCAAGAACTCTGTCTCTGAGTTTGAATTTCTCTTTCCAGGTTACAGAGGCCGATTTTTCAGTAACAAATTGGCTCATCCAAAGATGTCCCCTGTCACTGTGCATGAAACCACAGTTTTCTACTACCATAGCTCTTATCACTTCTGAAATCTTGTATACTTACCTGATTTCTGCCCCTCCCATGTTTCATGAAGGCAGGAATTCCTTCTTGTTTTTCACTGTATCCTCAGTGAAGAGCAGTGTCAGGCACGAAGTAGATGTTCAGTAAGTGAATGGATGAGGTTAGGCTTTTGCCTTTTGCTTTGTACACTGTGTATTTTTGAACATAAGATGAGTATGACTACTTTTTTTTTTCATTAAAAAAAGAAGAAAAAAAAAGGCAGGTTACTGCAAAGGGCAGTACCCTCAGCAAATCGTTTCGCGTTAAGACAGGTTTCCAAGTGAAAGCAATTCCCTCCTGGTACGGGCTGGGGACTCAGAACAGAGAGGGGCAACGCCTTATTCAAGTTTACCCAGCACTCAGCAAGTCAGACAGGGACCCAAATCGCCTCTTCCCCAAGTCAGTCTGAGCACCTTCCAGCTGGGGCCTGCACCCAAGGGAGGCGGAGGAGCCTGGAAGTGGAGGAGGAGACACAGCAGAAAGAGAACAGAAAGTGGGGCAAAGTTGAGGGATGGCTAGGGCATGGGGGACGTAACGAGGCGTAAAGGGTGCAAGGTGACGGTGAGACGCGAGGTAGAGGACGGAAGGATACGGGACTGGGAACTGAGAGCTGTGGTGTCTTACGAAGGGGCAGAGGGTCACAGAAGGGACAGGAAGGACAGAGGAGTGCGTGAAGACGGGTAACAAGAGTGCCGAGTGGAAGGAGGCGACGGTGGGGAGGGAGGGAGCGAGCGGCGGG